AGAGCTGGGTGATAACTAATAGTATCGACTACGTTGTACTTGTTGATTATGATAGAAACGTTATCATAATTTAATAAATAATAGTTTATATTAATTAATTAGATTATATGTATATAAATATATAGGTAAAAAGGTATATAGTTTGTCTTTGTCCAAAATAACAGAAATATCTGACCTCTAAGCTTTGTATCTCTTCCTGGGAAGTCATGCTATCATCTTACAGGTGCTGAGAAGCAAGAGCATTTCCAGTGGAAAAAAGCTGTAGGACTCAAGAAATTTCAGAAATACTGAAGCTGTGCTAAGGGGAGGACAGACTCTGTTCCAAACTCTGACAACATCCTGGAGAAGCAGGGGATGCTCAAAGAAAGATGGCGAATTCATACAACTAGAATGATAGAATCTGGGGAAGCAAGACTCCCAGCATCAGCAAAGATGCCCAGATCCATGGCATGGGGACATGGTGTGGCCACACTACAGAGAGCTGGCAGTAGGCAATGGACGTTTGCCCAACTATGTTATTCAATTTAAGATACCCTGACTTCCTTTATACTAGGTGTGTGGGGTGCAGGTTGAGAGAACTCTGATGTGAATGAAATTAAATTGTTCAATAGACCAGTGGATTGAGGCACTCATTATTAAATATAAATTAATTTAAAGAAAACAAAGAAATGTGATGGCTGTGACATGACCAAATTGGTCTACTAGGATTTGCATTCATGGCATGGGTTTTATTGGTTTCTATTTTTAGGTGTAGAACCTGATGTAGAGGCTGGAAAATTTAAGAAGCTTTTGTATTGGGCGCCTGGGTGGCTCAGTTGGTTGAGCGACTGCCTTCAGCTCAGGTCATGATCCTGGTGTCCCGGGATCGAGTCCCGCATCGGGCTCCCTGCTCGGCGAGGAGCCTGCTTCTCCCTCTGACCCTCTCCCCTCTCATGTACTCTCTCTCTCTTTAAAAAAAAAAAAAAAAAGAAGCTTTTGTATTTATACAACTAGTAAGTACATCCAGATTCCTTATCCCTTGTTCCACTGCTTATAATCAAACTGTATTTCTTCTTTAAATTATCATCACAAGGCTAAAAACAAACTCATAATTGAAGCCCTGAGAAAAAATTGAATTACAGAAATAAAACTGCTAGGTAATAATTGGGGCAGGTTCTTATCTTCTGATGAAGACATCTCTTGTAATGATACAAGAGGTAAATTATTGATATAGTTCTTTCCCAATCTGAACTGAATAAAGACCTACTATAATATCAACTGATTTTTTTTAAAAAAATATTGTATTGTGCATACATGCCTTTGAATATTTAGTCCACATCTCTTTGTGTGGTCCAAATTTTGCCCTACTATTTTTATACTTTTACTTCAGAATTATTGAATAATCTCTCTTTTTGGATTTTTTTGTAACACACAATGTTACATGAGTTTCAGGTATACAACGTGGTGATTCAACAACTCTATACACTATGCTCTGCTCACCACAAGTGTAGCTACCGTCTGTCACCATACAACACTATTACAATACCATTGACTATATTTCCTATGCTGTACCTTTTATCCCCATGACTTATTAATTCCATAACTGGAAGCCTGATTCAATAATCTCTCAATTGTGATGTTTGTATAGTCCAATATGTTTTTAAAAGGATACATCATTAAAGAAAGATTTATGTTATTTTTTTTTAAAGATTTTATTTATTTTTCAACAGAGAGACAGTGAGAGAGGGAACACAAGCAGGGGGAGTGGGAGAGGGAGAAGCAGGCTTCCCGCTGAGCGGGGAGCCCGATGTGAGACTCAATCCCAGGACCCCGGGATCATGACCTGAGCCAAAGGCAGACGCTTAACGACTGAGCCACCCAGGCGCCCAGATTTATGTTATTTTTAAGTCATAAAAAAAAAAATTGGTCTCCATGAAATGTAACAGTATGTCTTATTGTTAGTTCTAGTGGTGAATAATATGCAGCTTAGCTGATTGAAAACCTTCTCTTATTGATCAAATTTCATGTACAAAGCCCACCGAGATACCAAAGATAATAATATAAATCTCCACAGAATTTTTAAAAAATTAACAGATAATTAAAAAATATATTATTTGGTCAATTCTGATAATAAATGTGTACTCTAATTATTGACCTTTGGATCCAATTCAGAAGAGATAATTTAGAAATTTATAGCTTATAGAGACCAGAGAATATCTGTACACCAATGCTGTACCAAGCCAGGTTAGAGCCTGATGCAAAAGTAAAAATCAATAATACTGATCCTGGGGCACCTGGGTGGCTCAGTCATTAAGCATCTGCCTTCAGCTCAGGTCATGATCCCAGGGCCCTGGGATCTAGCCCAGCATCAGGCTCCCTGCTCCGCGGGAAGCCTGCTTCTCCCTCTCCCACTCCCCCTGCTTGTGTTCCCTCTCTCGCTGTGTCTCTCTCTGTCAAATAAATAAATGAAATCTTAAATAAAAATAATACTGATCCTGTCTTTATTTAAAATTTGATATTTTGTTCATTGTTTTTTGTATTAATTTTACTTTTAAAATATTGCATTGAAACATTTATTTTGATTAGTGAGATTTTTTTTTTTTTTGGTGTGTCCTTAAATTTTACACCTGAGACCTCAACTCTTCTCACGCTAGCCTTGGTCCTCACCACACCTACACCGTACAAATTCTAGAATGTTGACTGCAATGCCTAGAGAAGCCATGTGAGGAGATAAATATCTCTTTGGCTATAAAAAGTCTATAAAACAATAGGACTATGCAAAACCTGAGCTAGTGTAATAAATTACATATAACATGGCATTCATTTCTTGACTAGAGACTCATTCCCCAATCTCTCTCCCTCACACACACACATAAATATACAAACTTATTAACTTATTTTTAGAGTTAGCACCATGATAAGAAGAAACTTGAAATGTTTTGACATATTTTTAAGCTTTTCTATTATTATCCTTCTAGGATTTAGAGAGTCTCTCAACAATAGTTAACTGAACTATTGATTGCAAAATGTCTGAATATTCATTACTTTTATTTTAATAATTCATTAAAAGTCCAATTAGCATCTGTATTTGGGATTTTTTAGTTAAACGACAGCTGTAAAATACACCACATGGAATTTTTAGTCTTTTTTTTTTCATTTCTATACCTTTTGTTTTATGATAATGCAAATACCTCACCAAATAGCAAGTCTGAAGGATGGGATTTGGGAATTTATACCATTCAGTTATATCCTCAGTAGTTACCAGGAATCAAGGAGTGAGACTCTGTGAAATAGAACATAATGAAAGTCATACCAGGAAAATCATGCCAGTCTTCATGTAAAACTACATTCTGAGTGTATTTAATCACAAACAATGATACTATACATTTTATAGCACACTATGATTCACAAACTACACTCATTTTTTTCACCCAAATTAAATAACAACTTTAGAAGTTAAGTTGTGGGTAAATTAGCACTATTTTACTCATAAGGAAGCTGGCAGGAAACCTCCTGACGACACATTGTATTACATTCTCTACAAAATGTGAATCAACATTTTTATTAGATGCATGTAATGCCAAATTTACAGTCTTAGTGCATGCAGTGGGTTCAATTTCCTAATCTGACAGAACAGCCTAGCATTTGGTAAACTAGAGAGACACAGAGTCAAATGTGAGGGTTGAGATGCTACAAAACAACCCTCCAGTATGCTGGTCTCTGTATTTCCTCAGTTCTAAAACTAAAGGCAGAATTACAGCATAAAAATGTCTCTGGCTAAATAGAAATTTTCCATGGAACGAAGAAGGAAAACCCTCACCCAGTCTTCTAGCATTAATATTAATACAAGTTTGTTCATGTAGTTATCTACTTTCACCTTCACACTTTGATAACTTTATTTTTTTTTAAAGATTTTATTTATTTACTTGACAGAGAGAGAGCACAAGTAGGCAGAGTGGCAGGCAGAGGGAGAAGGAGAAGCAGGCTTCCCACTGAGCTGGGAGCCAGATGTGGGGCTCAATGCCAGGACTCTGGGATCATGACCCAAGCTGAAGGCAGCCGCTTAACTGACTGAGCCACCCAAGCACCCCTCACCTTGAAACTTTGAGACAGAGACCCTGAATAGCTGAGATAGAAAGACCAGAGACTTTCAATAGCATGGGGGAGAGGACAGAGGCAACTTCTCTAGGACTGTCCAGGATGAAACCATACCACCCATTTTGTCCAAGAGAGGCGAGGCGAGTGACAAGGTGGCAGCAGGAAAAAAAAAAAAGGTACCATCTGCCAATTTCACAATTTTGTCAAGGACTAATGCTTTTCATATACTCTGAACAATTAAACCCTCTAAGATATTTTCTATATTAACTTAAAATATTATTTGTATTCCTTCTAAAGTATTTTTATGTCTACAAAAGCACTTACCCTTCCATTGTATCCTCAAGAAAGGCACATTGCTGCTTCACTTTTAAAAATTTATTTCTTGGGGTGCCTGTGTGACTTAGTAATTAAGCGTCTGCCTTCGGGCTCCCTGCTCCTCAGGAAGCCTGCTTCTCCCTCTCCCACTCCCTCTGCTTGTGTTCCCTCTCTCACCGTCAATCTCTGTCAAATAAATAAATAAAATCTTTAAAAAAGTAAATTAAAAAATTAAATAAAATCTTTTAAAAAAATAAAAAAATAAAAATTTATTTCTTCATAATCTATACTGGATTTAATCTTATCTTGGAGGATCATGTTCTAACATAAGTTACACATTATTCTCAGCCATGAAAGTTTGAAACGTGAAACTCATCTATGCTCTTCCTTTTTCTTGCCCACAAATAATATGCTAAATCCTCTTCTTAGTAAAGTCTGTGCATTTTATTTTTTTATTTACTAATTACCTCATTCACAAACCCACTACCTTAACTCGATTCCCCTTAGGATACTGTAATGGGCATCTTCCCTTGCTTTCCACCATGTCTATTCCATCTCTGATCCATTTTATATTATACAGCTGCCACATTTTCTTTTTTTTTTTTTTTTTTTCAGAACTCAAATACAATTTATTGGTTTTCTTTGATTGCCTCTGGTCCAGCTTTGGAAGGGCTCTCTGGGTTCTTCTGGCCCTGTTTCCGGGCCGCTGCTGCTTTAGCTTTTAAGGCCCTTCTTTGCTTCTTGAGCTTTTGTACCTCCTGGAAGACCTGAATGCACAGGGCCTTCTTGGCTGCCCAGCGTCGGTGGCCTTTCCGGTGGTACAGAGCGGGGGAGGTGTACTCAATCCCCAGCTCCTTGCATACCTTCTCGAAGACACTGTAGTTGGTCTTCCGGAGGTTTTTGAGCATCTTTTTCCTCTGATCGATGCTCATCAGCAGATAGCGCTTGTGGGCTTTGTCCTTTCGATGTTTCTGCATGTGTTCTTCATAATTGCGGATCTTGACAGTCAAGGCAACAATTCGAGCCTCCAGGGAACTGGTGTCCTCAGGGTTTGCCACAATCTTGTTCATCAGCTGCTCTTGCTTGATTTTTAGCTTCTCCTTCTGGTTTGCCATTTCTAAAGACAAGAGTCTTCTCACGACATCGTCAAACTTCTCAATTCCAGGAATGTTCTGGTAGTCTTTGAGCAGCGTGGAAGGGGGCGGGTCATCTTCTTGGCTGGGCTGGACTGGTTTCTGGGTGGCATATCCGCGAATGGCCGGGAGGATGACACTTCTTCCCTATCCACCGGCCTTTCTCCCTCATCCTGCCACTGCTCTTCTCCCCTATCCTCGTCCCCCGTATCCGCCATCTCCGTCCAACCCCATTTCCCTCCCTACTTTTTCTTTATAGAACACAATTTCACTCATGTCATATTTCCATTCAAAAACCTTGAGTAATTTCCCATTGCCCAAAGAAAAATGTACAATGGGAGGCTTGCATTTGCAGAGCTTTACAGTTGGACACCCTGACTTTCCCATCATGTTTCCCATTGTTTTCCCATTTGCTATGCTCAGGCTAAACAGAATGATTTCTCTACATTTAAAAAATCTTGTACTTAAATGAAAAGGGAAAATTGTATTACAAGTATTAATCATAACACATATCAACTGAAGTAATGAAGTCCTCCAGTGAAGTTCAAGGACAAAATTTTGCATGTAGAAGTTTCACGTTTTTTGTTGTCATTAAGAGATGTTCAACTCCCTAAAAACAAAATATAGGATCATCATCGTTTGGAAACCATGGTAATTCATCTGGCTCACTTTCCATCCGTGTAATGCTCTGACCCATTTGCCTAGGAGTTAGAGGTTTCCTCTGAGAAATTCTTAAACTTACTATTCCTTGTGACAGTGGCATGCATTTCAGATAGCTATGAGAGATTGGGAGAAAAATGCAGAAGTGTAGAACAGTTCTCTTTCAATAAAACTAAGGATTTTGTATTAATGTCCTTATCTCCCCAATGATCCTATACTATTATCTTTGACCTCTTAATTATTTTTTCTAATAAATTAACCATTTGAACCATTTGTTCAAAATGATCAGGTTGAGTAAAGCAGAATACTAACCGTTTTGAGCACTTACAAAGCACAGTAGAGTGCTGGAAGCTCTGCATGTGTTACAGATCTTTTAAATGTCCCTAAATCTGGCCAAGGTTAATATATTAGTGCTCTTCTCTAACAATTGAGGTTCAGCAAAGCTCAGCTTGCCCAAGTTCATACAGGAATCAAGTGGTAGAGCTATAATTCTCTAATAAGAATTATGAATAAACTGTTATGAGCCCATGCAAGTGAAAGTAAAGCCGGAAAGGGAGCTATATACATTTAAACTTCATTTTTAAATTTATACCATTTCTTGCTAGATATCTTACATTCTGCCTCTCCAGACTGAGTTCTTGATGAGCAGACCAGTGTTTTTGTGTGAAATTTTTGTTGTTGTTTTATAGCAGCAACAATTAGAACATTCAATAGAATATAGAAGACACTTGTTAATTTATCTTAGACTGCTGATATCTGAATGTGTTGGAAGGTATAGCATTACTTTGGAACCATCAAGGACCATCCAAATCTTCTGCCTTGATCCCTTGCTTTTTGAATGGGTAAACTAAGGCTCAGAAATGGCTGTGTGCTTCCACATCATTCAGATAAAAGTGGGCAGAATGAGAATGTTAACTTATGTCTTGTAAGTCTAGTGAAATTCCCAGTACATTAGCTTCTCCTACATAAAAACAGTGCTTTCAAACTGCTTGTCACTTTATAGTTTCCACCTTCGCTAGCTTTAAGAGTGTCTCTTCTATTTGGTCTCTCAACTGCCTTTTGCCAGAGAAGCTCACCAACTCAAATTTCAGAGAGCTCCAAGAAGCATATTTTCTATGACAGGGTCTTGACCATTAAATTACCTTCACTTTTCTTCTGAAAAAATTCTAGTTTATTAAGTTTCAAGATGTTGCCCAAGGACTATGGCTAAATATAAGAGAAAGATTTATGCTTATAAACAATCATTTTTCCTTTATTGTGTAAGAAACCTCAAGAGAAACATCACATAAACCTAGAGAACAAGAAAATGAAATTTTAAAATAAAGTATGAGTTTCTCTAATAATCTCTTACTTCCATTTTTCAAACATGTGTATGTGTGCATGTGTATGTGTCTGTAGTATTCATAAAGTGTATATAAAAATGTAAATGATACGTATATATCATATATAAACAAATATATACATAAAATTTATACTACATATGCATATGTAACCCCCTTTCTTGTATTTATGTCATTTAGCAACATGAACAAAATCTAACTCTCTGTAATTGTGTGTCCAGTTTTTGAGTGGAGAAAACTAAGAAAATGAATGTGAGCTTAGTCTCTCTGCTCCCAATTGCAGTAGCAACTACATGCCTGAAAATGTTTTTAATATTCATTTTTTATCTTCTTTGTATTCATCAACTCAGAACATTTCCTCTACACAATGTTTTCAGACCATAATATTAAAAAAATTTGAGAGCTATTAAGCTATTCGATCCTTATAATACATAAATTATACACATATTTAGCTCTGGTGTTAACGCACGATGATGAGAAACTCTAGTCAGCATTATTGCAGTTCCTGACAGGTGACCATGTTTGAGGAGGAATAGGCTGAAGCTCACTTCCTGAAGACCCAGGAACTACAGCTAAAAATAATTATTTACATTCCTTCAATTTTGAAAAATGAAAAAGACATGGGTTTTGGCTAAATTATGTTTCGGGCGCCTGGGTGGCTCAGTCGTTAAGCGTCTGCCTGTGGCTCAGGTCATGATCCCAGGGTCCTGGGATCGAGGCCCGCATCAGGCTCCCTGCTCCACGGGAAGCCTGCTTCTCCCTCTCCCACTCCCCCGGCTTGTGTTCCCTCTCTCGCTATCTCTCTCTCTGTCAAATAAAAAAATTTAAAAAAAAATAAATTTTTCTCCCATTATTTTAGATGTAGAACTTAAGCAAATAGAATATTTAAAAAACAAAACTGACAGATAAACTGAATGTAACCTAAGTGCTGTGTGTGTTATTGAGTGAATGCCATGCTGGGAGAAAATGAGCATGGGGAAAGAGACTATGAGAACCTCATTTTTAAATGTTTCTCTCATAGGGAAAACTCTATTACTCATTACTCTTTTATGTGCCTCTTACAGAAAATATAAGCAACCTGTATTTGTGCAGTTAGGTAATAATTCTTTCTAAAATACTGTCGAAAAGAAAGAGGGAGTGACATCTTTTGCAGAATCCTTAGAGAAAGATTCTTTTCCAGGGAGTGACAAACAGCGCTGCTAATGACATTCTGATGCATATCTTTGGGTACACGTGTGTATGCAATTCTCTTGGAATTATCAGATCATAGGTTTTGTTTTGCATATGTTCCGCTTTAAAAGATACTTCCGAACAGTTTTCCAAAATGGTTGTAACTACTGACACTTCCATCAGACCTGTGGGAGAGATTCTGTTGCTCTACAATAGCTTTGCCTACATCTTGGTATTACTATTTTTAAAAAATATTCTAGATACTGCAGCGGGTGTAGAGTGGTTTCAATGGTTACTTCTCTGATGACTAATATTGATGGTCATCTTTTCACATGCTTATTGGCCATTTAGATATTCTCTGTTATGGAGTGTGTTTGCTTAACTCTTTTGCCCTTTTTTTTTCAGTTGAGCTAAATGTTTTTTTCTTGATTTGTACGAGTTCCTTATATGTTCTGCATGCACATCTTTTGTCAGGTTATATATTGCAAATATTTTCTCTCACCCTGTGGTTTGTATTTTCTTTCACTCAATGAGTTTATGAAAACACATTCACACACAATCATTTTATACGTAGGAAAAAAGAACAAAGAAGTTCTCTGCATGACAACAGATAACCATAAATAAAAAAGAAACCATGTTAAGTTCCTGGTATATCGTAGGAGCTCAATAAATATGTCTTGAATTAATCAAAAGATGACAGCATACATTTCAGTCCTGTTCAATGAAATTCTTATCCAAATATTGCCTCAATATTTTGTTCAACACAATAATGGCAGTTTTCTAAGGGAAAAAAATCATGATTAAAAAATTTTTGAAATATCTTAGGACTTTGTGCATTTCCCACTGACCAAGAAGAGAAACACGGCCTACCCTTCCTAAGAATTATAAAGAACTATTAGCAAGTTTTTTAAATTATTGATCCAGGTAAATATATCACACACTATTCTGCTTTTAAGATTATTTTTAACTCAAGAAAATGTATTTAAGGAAAGAAACTGTGAGGGTGTAAAAATATTAAATAGTAGAAAAGGAAATTTAAAAACAATTGTATCTATTGGAAGTGTTTAAGTCTTTAGAATGAGACTATTTCATGTTGAATTCAATGTTCACAATCATGTTTAACAGATATAACATGATGGGTACTCCATTGCCATACAACCATTTATAATTTTAAAAAATAAAGCTTTGTTTGCAAATTGCCATGGACAGTGTCCCTGCATTTGTTTTTAAATAAGTTGCTTGAAACCTCCATAAAAATCTCCACAGCAGACATGAAAGTGAATAGAGCACCATACATAAGAACAGTTTCTCTTGCTCTTTAAAAATTGACCAGTTGGGGGAATATACATAAATCTATATAAACAAAGCAAACATTTTAAAAAATCCTTTTAATTTTGTGAATACTTCCTATAGCTCTTAAATATTTCAATAGTTGCAATCAATTAGGGAATCTATTAATATTTTCTATTGTCAACTCTATCATGTCATAAATATATATTGCTTCTCAAGGTGAAATAATAAAAAAGACCATTTAAGGAATGATACTTTCCTCTAAATCCTAGCCTTTTAACAGTGGCATAAAAACTAGTACATCTGCAATAACTTCAGTAATATGGTCAACCACTGACATCTATTGGCAAAAATAAGCAGACAACGTTTGGTTAACTTATAAATGCACTTATGATTTTTTTTAATAGCTCTAATCTGAATATTAACACTTATTTAGAAACCAATGTTAGGGATAGTTTGGTTAAGTTATGTAAGGCCACAGGAGACTATTTAAAATCTTTAGCCCTAAAAACTGAAGTTAAGAGTTAAAAGAGGCCTAAATAGCTTTTATTATTTTCCTTCATAAGATTACAAATCAGAGAGAAAGCCAGTGTTGTTGTTCCAAAGAAATACATCTGGTTTCAGATTTGGAGAACTTTATTTACTAATTTGCCAAAAGGTTAGTGAAGCTCAGCAAATACGTGGTATTCTTAACTTTAAAAAAAAAAGAAGAAAAGAAAAAGCGTCTTAAATTTTCAAGCATATTAGATCGCAGTTTCATATATTTTGTACACTTTCATGAGCTTTTCCTTGTCTTTACTCAATCCTTTTTTCTCCAAGCTCCTCCCCCACGAAGCATTACTTCCTTGACTCTTATCCAGAGACTTCTCCTCAGTATTTTGTAACTTTAAGACAATGACGCATTGTCAAGATGCCATTATACTAGCAAGA